ACACTTTGGCTTCCTGCGTCCTGCGTCCTGCGTCCTGCGACCTCCTTGAATTGGGATTTTCTTGGACGTGTTGTCCGCCTTCGATTTTATTGCTTTCTGCTGAGTTTTTACGTTTTATTTATTTTTTATTTGTATTTTTATTTTTGTTGTTGTTATTCTTTGCTCCGCTTTTAGTTGAGGGCACCGGAAAAAAAAGAACGAAAAAAAATTGTGTGGCAATTAATTCCACCAAATCGAAGCGAATCGAAATTGGGAAAAAGTCGGAAAAACTCCACGGCCTGGACTTTTAATTATTATTATTTTTTTGGGCACTGCGATTAATTGTTTTCTTTTTTTATTATACAAATTTGCATTCGTAATACTCATAAATGTGAGGGAAATATTAAAGGAAAACTCTTTATAAATCTTGCAATTATTGGTTTGGGTTTTTCTTTTCCATTTTCTGCTGCTGAAAATGCTGGCATTAAGATTTCCCCCAAAACTCGATTATATAGCCGCCATTTCTGGCCATTTTCCCAACAATGGAATCAATCAGTATTGCAGGGGCTTATATATATAAACATATATATGTGTATATATATAAAATTTCCTTTCAATTAATGGAGAAGCGAGAAAAACAACCGTACAGAACTGATAAATATTTCTCGCTTACTCGCTGCAAATCGAATTTATGATTTAACAGAACTTTGTGTACTTTGTTTTTCTCACTTGGCGCTTTAATTTATGCTCAAAAAAAAACAAAATAAAATAAATAAAACTGGCTACATGACTTTTACACGCTTTTAATACGCACCATCAAAAAAAAAAGCAAAAAGGCAACAACTTTTAGCAGCTTTTTATGCTCACTTTTATGGAGTTTTGTAACAGCCAGAAAAAAAAAGAAACAGAGACAACAAACAAACAAACAAAGTGGATGATAAACAAACAAATTGCCTAAATGATTTTTAATATAATTTTTATTTTAAGGCGGGGGGAAATAACACTTTTGATTTACCATCAAATGTTGGATGTTGCTTATTGGGTTTCGTGCGATTTGTTCGATTTCTTTCGATTGACTTGTAATTGAGTTTATCGAAAACGGAGTTTATCGGTTCGGTGTGTTAATTTTTGACAAAAAAAAAAAGAAGTTTCGACGGATTATCGGATGCTGGGATAACGTGATGCTCGGTGGTCACTGGTTTTTAGAGCCGAGCTCAACTTGTTGTCGCGTTGCTGCCCAAAGGAGCAGTGAATGTGAATCCTGGCTCCCACAGGCTAAGGACGAGGACTCAACTCAACTCAACTCAACTCGACTCGACTCGATCCGAGGATGTGCGGCCAGCAGCGACGACGATGAGCACAGGAATGAATGCGAGTTTTGGAGCCGAGCAGCAGCAGCAGCAACAGCCGACAGGACACGAGCTTCACGAGTTCCCCGCAGGACATCGTCTCGGGCTCGGCAGCAAGGATAACGGCGAGCAAGGAAGGTGGTCCTGGCGGCAGGAACGCTGCAGCCTCATCAACGCTCTGGTGGTGTGCGTGTTAAGTGTGTGCGTGTGTGTATCCGCCAGCAGTGGCAGACGCAGCAGCAGCAGCAGCAGCAGCAACAGAAGCAGCAGCAACAGCGTCCAACGGCTACACTGAGACAAATGAAAGGTTCGAAAAACCCAATTTAAATTAAAAATAACATTTGAATAAGTAAATTTTAGTTATATTTTATATCATATCTTTTTAAAGATTTATTAAATTACAATCAATACAAACATAAGTTTCAAGTTAAATAAATAATTAATCAAATAATTTAACAAATTAAGTAGCATAAAATAACTTGGTTAAATTAAAATAAATCAAAAGAAAATATCGAAACAAATCGAATTCTGTAAAAATATTAATTATAATTAATATATGTACATTAATACAAAAATACATATAAGGTATCATATCTATTGTTGAATTAAAGGAAATCACAAAATTCCAAACAATAATAACGAAAAGAAACCAAAAAATGGTATATTAGGGATGACACCAAATATTTATGTCCATATAAATAAATTTGAACATAAATCATTATTTTAGCGTTGAAATAAATGTTGCTATAATCAATATAGGTATAGTATGTATAATACAGAATACATCAGATTAATTACATTTTCTATTAAAGGTTTTATAATTTTTATTGGAATCATAAATATCAATTTAGCCACATCAGCTTGAAAAACAGATGTACAAGTTCTTCAAAATACATTATTATATAATACATAATAATATAAATTGTCAAAATTTAGTTTAAATAAAAAAACGATTAATTTTAAATTCAATATTCTAATTTGCTTACCTATTAAAAACCCCCCACAAAATTGAAACTGTTTTACCCCAAAAGTGTTCGATTCAATTGCAGGGTATTCAATCTTCGGTTTTTTTTATTTTTGAAACAATGGATATCGTTTAATATTAATATATAAAACCCAAAGCTATTTTAAATGATTTTACTGCGATATTTTTATACATCTTATTTATAATCACATGTTACCTTTCCGGATATGTAAATATTAGCCATTAGGGTATATAAAATAATAATAAAATATAATAATAGATAAATATATATAAATATTTAATTAATAATTAATTGTCATTGGGATGATATCCTTGTAAATAAATATATTAAAATTAAAGGGTATCAATTACCCTGTTTAACACCTGGTCGAGCAAAACAATTATCTTACTGATATGTATATAAAATATAGGAAATAATAAAAAAATAAACAACTAAAAATATTTTTAAATTTAAAACCAATAAAACGACAAACAAGACATTTAAGAAGTTATAAATTTATAAAAAACAAGAAAAAAAATAGTTATCCGAAATCAAAGCCTAGCAAACCTATGCTTTATGATTAAGATATTAATGTTAAAATATATGAGTTAATTTATTATTGTTAATTTCCAGGATTATGCGAGTGAAAGGCACTCGACTATTTCTCGCAGTGCAGCAGCAACAACAAGTGGAACTTTTTGGCACTCGGCTCCGTCCGCCTGCATTCGTTTCTCCGCTCGCTTTCTCTTCTCCTCTTCCTCACACACACATGTGTGTGTGTGGGGGGCACCGGTGTGTATGTATGCGTGTCGTTGCGCCTCGTTATTGGTTTCGGTTTCAGTTTGTTTTTGGGTTTGGATCCCGTTGCTTTTTCGTTTTCATTTTTGTTTTCGCTTTCGTTGTGCGCTTTCGTCCAGCCTTTGCCTTTGTCTTGTCCCCCACCCACTCCCACTCTCCCACTCTCTCCCACCCCCCACCAGCACTTGTTGTCTCTCTCCGTACGGGCGCCTCTTTTTTCGGTTTGCTAAGCTTCCGCTGGGTGGCGCCACCAATTAAAAAATTTTTCACAAATTAAACAAACACAAAATAAATCCCAGCAACTTACGGGCATCGGGAAAAGCAGCGGCGGCGAGGAAAAGCCAGGCGAGACGACCGTCCAGCACTTTAATAAAGTTGATTCACCCACCCCCCCCCCCCCTCCACTATATATAACACACACACACACACAAGCACACGCACACATGCCGGAGATTTTCATTAAGCAGATTTTGGTCTTTCTGCGCTGTGGGTCAACAAAGTTTTTCCCACTTTTGTTTTTCTTCTCTATTTTCCCTGATGAGCCAGCGATGCCAAAGTTCTACGGTAAATTCAATTACTCAACGGTCGAGGAATATATTATTTGGCACTTCGATCCGTTTTAGGATCTGGGATCAATAGCGGGAAATATTGAAAATGAACTCTTAAATACGTGACTTACCACGTGAGTTCTTGAATATTTTTTTAATTTTGAAATTTTTAACATAAATTGATCATTTATATCCTATTGAATATAAATTCTTAAATACGTTAATTCTCGAATTAATGAATTCTGAAATATTGAACATAAATTCTTGAATATTTAACATATATTGCTGAATTTGTAAATTGAATTAATAAATTCTGAAGTGGTGAATTTGTAAATTCCTAAATATATGAATTCTTGAATCCCTCATTTTTAAATAATAATTAATTCAAGAAACATGGACCATTTACCATGTATTCTTTAATAATGAATTCTTGCATATTGTACATAAAGTATATGAATTCTTGAATTAATAAATTTCTAAAATATTGAACAAAATTAAAACATGAATTATTGAATATGCGAATTCTTATATTATTGAATGCGTACAATTTCGAATAAGTTTGTTATTAAATTCAGGAATATTAACTATAAGATCTTAAATTTTGTTAATTCATAAATTCTTGAATATTGAACATTCTTTCTTGAATTTGTGAATTACTAAAATGTAATAATAATAATAATGTGAATTCTTGAATATTTGCATTTAAAATCATAAATTCAAGAATATTGAACATGTATTCTGGAATATTGAATGATTTAATTATATGAATTCTTATAAATCCTTTAAAACAATAAATAAATTGTTGAATTATTGCATTCATGAATTCTAGAATGGAAATTATGTATGGTAACAGTGATGCCAGACCTGTAAAATTTGAGTAGCAAAAGCAAACAGAGTGAAAATACAAAGAAAGTAAGAAATATTTTAATTAAATGTAAAGAAAATTATTTGTTATATTATATTATATAAATATATATATTATATTATATAATTATAATTGATTGTTCTCCATTAGCTTGAATTGTTTTTATTTCCTTGGCGTTGCCACCTAATTTAAACCGAGTGAGGATTAGCCTTTATTTATCTTAATGCTATGGATTACATTAATTCTTAAAATAATAATGTAAAATCAAACCATGAAAAATAAAAACGTCAACAGAGATGCCAAATCTTTAAAATAAGTGTAGTTAGCAGTTTATTAATAAACAAATTGAATGGAAACAATGATGAGAGAACAGAGAGGATGCCTCCGAAAGCCCTCTCAGTATCTACGAAAATAGAATATTATTTAGTTTCTCTGATCTGAAATAAACAACGAAAACATATAAAATTGTACACTCTCAGTAGACAACCGTTGCCATAATGGATCTGTTGTTCCTCAGCCGGCGGATTTTCCTGGGCGATGGAAGTCCAGACGATGTCCTGATCCACGGCGGGATTATTGTGGACACCGAGGGTATCATACGACGGGGTGAGTATCCTTTTTTCTAATCTGAAAATTAAGGAATATATCAAGTTTTTGCACTTTCCAAAATCCAGTGCTGCGGTCACCGCAGGAGGTCAACACCTATTTGTACAACACCGAGTCCGAGGCAGTGTATGACTTTGGAGACTTGGTCCTAATGCCGGGCCTTATTGATCCCAATGTTCATATTAATGAACCGGGACGAAAGGATTGGGAGGGTTTCGCTTCGGCCACCAAGGCGGCGGCTGCCGGTGGCATCACCACCATCATAGACCGACCCACCAATGCCACCCCGGCCACGGTGAGTGTGACGGCTTTGAAGGCCAAAACAGCGACAGCCCGGGGTAAGATCTATGTGGATGTGGGTTTTTGGGGTGGCCTTATACCCAGCAATGGTGATCAGCTGTTGCCCCTGCTGGCCGCCGGGGTAATGGGTCTACAGTGTACACTCTGTGGCTCCGCCCCACCCGTTTCCGAGGAATTCCCAGCCGTCAATGAAGCTCAATTGGAGGAGGCCCTCCTGCGATTGGCCGAGGAACACGATGAGGGAGAAGCCATCATAGCAGTAAGTTTTAATCCATATGAAATAAGTTTGAAAGTGACCCCGGAATTTCTTCAGGTGCATGCCGAGTTACCTCTGCCCAAGGATGTGCACCCTTCGGAGGATGCTTCACCCCGGGAATATGCCACCTTTTTGGCCACCCGGCCTCATGCCATGGAGGTGACAGCAATGCAGTTGCTCTGCCGCCTGGCTAGACGACACCCCAAGCGGCGCATCCATGTCCTCAACCTGAGCAGCGCCAAATGTCTACCTTTGGAGGAGGAGTGCCGCCAACAAGGTGGCCAGTTGACAATGGAAACATGTCCGCATTACCTGTCCCTGGCCGCCGAAGAGGTGCCCGAGTGCGGAACGGAATTCAAGACATGGCCACCAATTCGAGAGCAGGACAATCAGGAGCAACTGTGGGCGGCATTGAGAATGGGCGGAGCCATCCGGATGATTGGCAGTGATCATTCACCAGCGTCGCCAGGTGCACGGGCCCTCATCGGTGGCCGGGGGCGTGGCGACTTCCTGAGAGCCTGGCCAGGAATCAATTCACTGCAGCTCGGCTTACCCGTCATCTGGACGGCTGCCAACCGGAGGGGTGAGCTGCTCCTGGACACTCCTCATTAGTATATTTGTAGTTTATAAGGGGAATATCAAGCATACGCATTGTGTACGAGGGGACAATCCATTGTCAAGGTCAAGGATTGTTACAACTTTCATGTGACAAGGTTCTGGAAAGATTTGGTCTTCCGGGAATGTAAGGACATCCAACCCACTCGCTTGGAGTATTTGCATTGCATTCTGGGGAAAACTGGAGGCTATTTATAATGCATTCTTATTGGCAAGTGCGTCAATGCTTGTTTATCGCATTTTAATTGGAATTTCACAGCAATAATTGCCAATCGTAATCGGGACAAAAGGATATTAATGGTACAGAACTCAAAATAAGTTATTTGTAGCTACAATATCTCCTTCAAGAGTTGCCTTTGAAGAAGTTTTTATAGGAAATACTTGTAAGACCTTTTAAATGCTGTCCAAAAGTATGCTACGTGAAGTGGAAAATCTTAAAACTGAACATTGCATACTTTTTAGGCGCATTTTAAAGAGATTTCAAATTCGAAACTTTTTTTTGGGGCACATGGTGAAAGGAAACTTATTCGATTTTTGAAATTTACCAAGTAGGGTTTTGATATATACTAATTATATCTAAATCAGGGCATTCCTTTATAGAAAATCGGAACGTGAAACATTTAAAATTTGCCAAAAAGAAGACTTTAAAATGTAACATTACAAAAATTGGCTTACTTTAAAGAGGTTTCAAAAATTTTAGTTTTTTAAATGAAGTTTGTTTTTTAATTTTCATCTTTTCCAGGATCACCACTAAGCATCTCGGATATCCATCGTCTGATGTGCCTGGAACCCGCTCATCTGTGCGGCCTGTCCACCTTCAAAGGACGCATCGCCGAGGGCTTTGACGCGGACTTTTGCGTTTGGTGTCCGGAGGAGGAGTTCACTGTCGGTCCGGAGCAGCTATTCACCGCCACCAAGGCCACACCGTATGCGGGCCGGCGGCTGAGGGGCGTTGTCCATGCCACGGTGGTGCGAGGTCTGCATGTCTACCAGCAATTCGAGGGCTTTGGCCAGCCGCTGGGCAAGGTGCTCCTCCGGAAGAGCAGCCGCAAGCTGGTCAAATTCGTTCGCATGTGAGTGGGTAAACTTTGTTAATTAAAATCATTAAGAGATTGTGGGCTGTGCTCGTTGATATTCCGTTGCCACTTTACCCTTTTCATCGAGGGTGCGTTCATTTTAGCTATGAGTTTTGTCAGTCCCAAAAGGGAAATAAATAAATGTTATAAACGAAAAATATATTTATAAACTACGTGAAGGAAGTTATGTTTTAGATCTTAGTATTAAGAAAAAGTCTCCTTATACAAATTAATGATTTAACAGCCCTGTTAAATCTATTTGTTGCATACTTTTTGACAGGTTATTTGTTAACGTTTTTCTTTTCATTTATTTGGACACTTTATTAATTGGATTTTTGAAAAATGTTTTGTTTTTCTTCAACAGAAAAGCCTTTGAATTCTCTATTATAATGTTTTCATAGCAGATATAACATTGGTTTGGAAATTCTGCAAAAATGTTTTTAAATTATGTAATAATATATTTGAGATTTTCAATTCAGCTCATATCATATATTTTTTAGGCATTAATGGAAAGTTTTCAAGTGATAACTTATAGTTTTTTAAGAGTTTTTTTATAAAGAATCATGATACATTAATTTTTTATACGATAATATTTTTACATTTTATTGAATAAGATATATCGTAGCATACTTTTAGACTTTAACCTTTGACGCAAGCAATAGTTTTACAGATTCAAACCCAGATACATATATTAATCTATATCTTTTTCTATTCTTGGGAAAATCCGATTGTATCAGCCTTTTTTTGCAACTTAGTTAGAGTAACCAGGATCTTGGACATCCTTGCATTCCTGAATGTTTGGCTTTTCACTGCTGCTTTTCCTTTCCCTTTTTTTCCGACTTGCTTTCAGCTTCCTTCGAGCCGGGGAAATGGAAAGGAAGCTAAGGAGATAGGGAAGACAGGAGACAGAAGGACGTGCAACAAGTTGTCGCGTGGCAACGTTGAGTAAACATGACACCAGGCGACCTCTCGTGCATGCGTGTGTGTGTGTGTGTGTGGGCTTGCCCCGCGCTTTCCATCGCTTTTCCAAGCATGCGGATGACAGCTTAAGTTTGCTTGCCAGGCGTCAACTCAATTTTTGCACTACTCTCGTGTGTGTTCATGTGCTCTGTGTATGTGTTAGTGTGTGTTGTGATAGTGTGTGTGTGTGTGTGTGTGTGTAGGTGTTGTGTGTGTAGGTGTGGACCAAGAGGCATGTTTACCTAAGCGGCGCCCGTTTTGTGGGCCAAGTTTATGCCGTGATTTACTTATAGTTGAACTTGAAGATTCTGGAATTCTCTTTGGGAGGAAGTAAGTCATTTAGAGGAAGTAAGATAAGGTATGGCAGTGAAGGTAAGTAAGTATATAAAATATTCTGAATAATAGTATATAAGTTTATTCTATAAAGAATAATACAAAAAATCCTCTAATTTTTTGCATAACGCTCAAAAACGTGACCAAAAAAATGCCAGAAAATATTATATATTAAAAATTAGATAACTTAAGGGGGTATATACCTGTTTGTTTTAATATATAGTTGATTATTTGTAGAACTTACTGTATAATTATCATTATCGAATTATAACTCTAAGTACATCAAATTAAGCATGTACGAGAGGTAAGTAAAAGTTTTAACCCGGCTTTTCTCCCCTAATAATTTTGTAATTTTTAATTATATTCCGTTTACGATTCAAGGAAAAAACTATACAACAAATCGGAGTAAATATAAATTAAAAAATATAAATTAAATTTTTTAAAACTATATTTGTGGAGTTTAAAAATTGGTTTTATTATTTTTCAAGAGGATTAAAAGTAAATATTAATTTTTCTTTGCTTAAAATTGTATTTAACTTTTTTGTCATCTTATCATTATGGGTTTTTAGGTTCTGATGAATATTATAAATATTCATACATTTACCTATACATATTATATATATTATAATATATATACAACTAGAATTATCGATAAACTCAGAGATAGAGGCGCTGCAGCAAAAACTCCTAAGGTCCGCCATTTTGTAAAATGTTGCTTATAAAAAAGTGCTTTGATCTTCGATATCACTTTTAAATATCTCAAAAGTTTCACAATGATTTCCTTATTATTTCATTAAATTAATAATCAAAAACAAATATAAAAATTTTGATCATTTTCATGTACATATATCCCCAGTAAACATTTTGTAGCCTTCTTTTAAATCTATAAACAAATTGTACCATCTATTTAAGATCCTTATTTTTATGAATTCGAAACCTTAAGATTTTTTTAACATTTTACCATCATTCTGAAGACTTCAGAATTATCAGTACTATCTCCCAAGTTCCACGAAGATTGCATTATTATTATTTTTTTAAATATCACAAATAACTCAACAATTTTGATCGTTTCCCCTTAAACATTTTATAACCTTCTTTTAAATCTATTTTTCATACCTTAAACATTTATGGCACATTTTTAAACGAATTTTTTTATAGGATTTAAAACACAATTTTGTAAAATATCCCTAAATATTTTACCATAATTTAGAAGACTCCAGAATTATCAGAAAAACAGAATAACCCAAAGATTAAGTAAAAGAAATGATTATATGATAATTCTACGTTTTGTATTTAAAAAGTATTTACGGATCTAAGGATTTCCAGGATCGAATTGAGTTACTTTCTTCTCTTTTCATTGTGTGCATGCAGCGATAACAAAAGATGAACTGGGGGGCAAGAGTAAGACAGATTGATGGCAACGGACAAAGACAGAAGGATAACCGACCGGCAGAACTGTCAATCAACGGAGACGAAGCGACCCACGCATAAACCGCTTTGTCTGCGTCCTTTTTCCGCTTCTGCACGAGAGGTGGCAAGGCTGGCAAAGGATGGCCAGGATGGCAAGGATGTCGGGGGGCTTGGCCCGTAAATACACCTTCCGCTTGTTGATATGCCACAGCTCGTCTGGTGACGTTGCGATTCGCCGTTCCTATGTTTTTTTCTGTTTCTGTCTCTGTTTCTGTTTGCTTCCTGCCTGAATTCCTCACTGCCTCACTGCCGCCTGTTGCCTGCGTCATTGATGCCCACGCTTGGCTTGGCCCAGCGCCGTTAACCCCACAGCGGTGTCGCTATTTTTAGCCCCATGGAGCGCAAAAACTTTTGCCAAACTAATTTGTGAATTATTCACAAAATAAAAATAAAAATAAGAGAAAAGACATGAAGAGTGCGTCTGTGCACTTGCGGGGCTGCTAAAATAATTACGGAAAATGTTGTGTGTCTAACTTTTTGTTATGCAAAGTGAATCAATTAAGTGACGTAACTTCAAACTATATATATTTATATATATATTCAAATGGCATTACACATGGAGCCACAAACTTTTTAATGCAAGCTGCCAGTAGAGATAATTATTATTTTAGTTATTAAAATAATTAAGTGCAATTTGCACGGTACTTCCAGTACGATATAACAGTACAGGACTTCCGTTTCCATGCCATTTATGGCTTATTATTGCCGGCTTATGAATTTCTACCCGCTTTTTTTTGGTTTTGCAGAAATTCGCTTAACGCCAAGTTGCCTTCGAGCAGCTTCCGTTGCCATTAAATAAATGCCACAAGCAGATCACAGTTTCAAATCACATTAAACGTTGCGCAGGTGAGCGAGCGTTGCTTTTGAGTGGATTTCACCTGTCACGGGCAGGCAACGTTGCGTATGCTCAATGTGGCAACGCTCACGTAACGTATCCGCCATGTGAGTCGCACGCGACAGCCTAAAACTTTCGCTGCAAGAAGCGGGAAAGGAGAGTAGAAAAGGGAGTGGGTAACGGCATAAGGGATAAAAGAAACGAATTGCGCGGCAAAAGGGTGAGATAAGAAGCCGAAAAGACAGGAGGCAAACATAACGCATACGCAACGTTATCCCCGTTGGGCCCGAAGCCATAGGAAAACTGGTGAGACGTAAGGTTAGTTACGGAGTTTTTGATAAACGCGAACCTAAAATTTTTTTAATTGGATTTGATCCAGGCAACAACGAATACAAATCTTATATACGTGAATAAACAAAAATTGACACAGATTTCTAATAGTACTGGAAGTGAATGAATTTTATATTCAAATAAAATAGGGTAATTTTTAACAAATTTTTTTTATATTTCCTTGTTAATAAACATTTTAAAAAATGTCTAGGCTAAAATAGTTATAATCTACTAAACGTAATTGTAACTTTAATAACAATTATTTAGAGCGAATAATGATTTAAGCATATAATATTTTATCTTTTTTTAAATTACGCAATTTAAACTATCAAATATTTGTAATATTTCCCTAAAACTGAGTAGAATATAAAATTTTAGCACAACTGTACTTTTAGCTAGTTTCGTATTTTGATCGTTTTTATGAATTTGGAAATACGGTAAACAAAGAATGTCCGAAACTAAGTGCAATATTTCCCAGTTTTCCCATATTTCCCTGTAATGATACATGTTCAAACATGCGTAGGACTGAGTGCAACTGTACCTACAACTTGTGCAGTTTTACTTTAGTTAAAGCAGGATGGAGATAACAGATAACAGATAGCATCTGCACTCATTTCTTGCTCTTCTTTTGCCGATTGCAGTTCTCTGAGCGGAAAGAATCGTCATGGAAACGGGGAGGCAACACCGAAAAGTATGCAGCACTGGGTGGGGGCGTGCAGGTGCGAGCGAGAGGGGTGACCGGGTGACGGACTGAGGGTGCGCAAGCGAGTCGGCAAGCAAGCTGCTACGCCATAACTGTGCGCTAAGGCGATAACGGCAGCAGCTATCTCGCTCTCGCAACCGCTGCTTGCGTTGGCTATTTTAAAATATTTATGCATCCTACTGAGTGCGTGTGTGTGTGTGTGTGTAGAGGTGGAGAAAAAGAACGACGTTGACGTTAACGTGGCGCTCCACTCTCTTTTGTTGTTGTTGCTGCTGCTGCTGCACAAGAAGTTATTCAAACGAAGTAACGGCAAATTACGAAACAATATGCATAGATAAGTGCGAGTGGGTGGGAAAGAAGTATGCGGAAGATGGGAGAGGGAGAGTGGGTGGCTGTCCCTCAATCATATGCTCACTCAGCTGTGCTCTGCCAGCGTCGCCGTCGCTGCGATGACGTGTATCGCTTCGCCTCTCTCTCTCTCTCTCTCTCTATCTCTCGCTGGCTATCCCGCTCGCACGCAGCGCTGCCGCCGCCACCGCCACCGTCGCTTAGTCAGTCATCATAGCTGCTACTTTTCAGTTTCAGTTTGACTACGTAGAGAACAGACGGCCTTCCCAAAAAAAAAAAATAGAAAAAAATCTAACACACACACACACCAGTGCAGAGGCGAGCGACACCACTCACACCCATACCGAAGAACACACGCGCGGTGTGGTTAAAACAAAAACAAAGCAGCAAAACGAAAGAGCAACAACAACAATACGAGAGGCAAGACGCCGGCGGGAACAGCAAAAGGTGACGATTCGAAAGCAGCGAATTTTGAGCGCCAAAAAACGTAACAACATTCTTTGTGTGCAAGTAAATAATTATAGCCTCCGCTGTATGTATGGGCGGGCGTGAGTGTGTGTGTGTGTGTGTGTTTGCGAGCGTGTAATCAAATACAAATCAGTAAAATAACAAAAAATCTTGACGTAATCGCAAACGACACGAAAAAGGAGGCAAAAGCAGCGACAACGACACTGACGGGCAAGCGGGCAACAATAACAAAGCGATTTGTATTCTTTGTTCCGTTTCTGCTGTGTTTTCGGATTTAAATTTTGCATTGTTGTCATCTCCCTCGACTTGAAAGCCGCTTACGGTAGACAAAAAGGGATAGAGCGAAAACACACTCGCGTGTTGTCTTGTGTTGGTTTACTTTTTTGTTTTTGTTTTTGTTTTTATTTTTGTTGTGCAGTGCTTGTGTTTGCCGTTATGCAAAGATTTCATTGTTATTAGTCAGCAACGTCAACAGGCAGCAGCAGCAGCAGCAACAACAACAACAAGCAAGCAAGCGAAGCGCGGGTAAGCAATAAACACCAAAAATGACGAAGAAATGCACAAAAGCTTACGAGAAAGGGAGAGAGTAAGAAAGGGGTGAATGTGCGGAGTGGGAGTGGGAGTGCAAAGGCAACAAACTCATAACTGCGGCGATCATCAATGGGTGTAAAAAGAAAGAAAGAGAGAGAGAGAGAGCGGATAAACTGAGCGTGATACGGGGAGTAAAACAAAAAACCGAGAGAGAGAGAGAGGAGCGGATTACACTTATCAATCAATGGGTTATGGGCGGAATGTGGCAAGGCGACAGAGCAGCGCTTCGCCTTGACACTGCGATAGTGTCAAGCCGCTTAGATAGTAGAGTCGTAAATTACCAACACTGACTATTGCCTGGGGGAAAGCACTCTGGGGCCCTGTAATGAGCTCTCTCTTTCCCGCTCTATCTTTGCCACACCGTTCTCACGAACACCCTTTTCCCGCTAATCTTGCACATTTAAAGAGCTCAACTGGTTAGGACCGTGCATAATTAGCCGGCAACTACGACGAGCTGATAACACATGCCCCCCCCCCCCTTCCAGCTGATAACGCACACGGACAAAAATATTTGTGCACGGCGAAAAATAATTAATGCTGGGCTTATTCACTTTTAACGGAATTTCTTACTAAAATATAAAAATAATAATGATAAGGATTAATATGAGCGACTCTCAGCTTTTAGGTTTTTCTTCTTAGTGTAACCCACTTTATAAATGTAATAAAACAGAAGGCATAAAAGAAGTTTAAAGGATAAAGGAAATTATTTAAGTTTTATAAATTATTAAATAAAAAATAATATTAATACGATTTATACTAAAACAATACTTAAAAGACTTGCATTAAAATTGTACTGAATATCTGATTGTTTGCGGTTTAATTGTAAATCCTTACATTTTCAGGTAAAATTTTAATAAAATAATAAATATTAATATACATTTAATACTAGAAAAATTTAATATATACTTACACATGATGTATTATGTTTATTTCAATATTTTACAAATTAATAGTTAAGGTATAGAAAATATTTGTGGCACCGTATTTAATTTATTTTTCAGTAACATTTTGAATATGTTTAGGAACAGAATAGACCACATGCCATTTGATGTTAAAAAAGTTTAATTTGAGTTCATATGATTTTTAATGTCCTTTGCCTTTAACACCACCTTCCAACACTGTTATTGTGTTGGATAAAAGAACAAGTGTTGGAAAGCGCTGCTAACGGCAGCTGTTGTACGTCGGTGGCATTATCGAAATTGTTATGGGCATGTTGATAATACCGTCGTTAAGCCGCGCGGCTTTATGAGCCATATGCAGTAGGCCTCTCCCCTTGTACCTCCCCCTCCCCGTCTCCCACTCTGTGCCACAAACAACGGCACCTGTCGTCAATGGCTTTGTCTCACTCACTTCCACTCCCTTTGCTTTCTTCAGCTTGTTCTTCTTGTTCTTAGCTTGTCCATGACAAGTAATAACTGTTGTGGCTTTGTTTTTTGTTATTGCACATTCATTTAGTTTTAATTAATTCAGCCAAGCAAACAGCGTTAGAAAGAGAGGGGTGAGTTGTTGGGGTGTGGGGGTGTGGGGGAGAGGAGCGCAGAGATTCACAGAAAGCCAACCAGCACAAACACGAACGAACACCAACGCAATGGAAACGAGTAAAAATAAATAATGCTGACGTCAATTTTGCGTACGTTGTGCACAGCGAGAAAAAGCGCTCCGTTGAAGGGGGCGGGGGTGGGGGTTCTTCGGCTCGGCCAGGGCAAATCAAAAGCCGAAAGCAAAATGCGAAATGCATTCTGATTGGAATTGATTGAAATGCAAAAGCAACAAAACCACCGCTGTCGACGTCGACGCTGCTGATGAGTTTTTTTTTCTCTTTACTTTGATAATGCGAAAAAGCAACAAATACTTAAAACAAACCCGAGAAGGCAGGCTTTCTTCGGGAATCCGAAGTCTGTAAATAAACTATGTATGTATATCCTTAGCTTGGAATATAAACCATATAACACAATTTTAATTCGGAAAGCACTGGGGGATTTTATAAGGTTACAATCCATTTTTATTTAAAGGAATTTGGACAATTTTAATTTTAAATAGTTTTAATTTTTAAAACTTCAATGAGGAGAATTTTATTTTGGACAAATTAAAATTTTAAATAAAAATAGTTGTCATCAAAACGATTTGAAAATATATACATATGAACATAAGGTCAAATATTATAAGCCTAAATGTTTGACTAAAATCGCCCAAAAAAATTAAAAAAAAAAGTCACTTTAGGCTTTAAAAAAATATGCCTTGATATTAGGAAAGAAACTTTCTCATATGAAGATCAATTTTCTTTTTTCAGGTCTATTTGTCCAAAATATTTTATAATTTTACACTTTTTTTTAATGTAGTTGAATTTTGTATATGTTTCGAAAAACTTTTCATAGTCTGATTGAATTTTATAAATTTAATAATACTTTTTTTAATAAAGAACATAAATTAATTAATTTTTAGGGTTAGTAACTATGAAGAATCGAGGAGTGCTTCTTTAGTAATAAATATTTAAGAATTGGCCGCTACCGTCAAGTTGGAAATACCGAAAAGTATTTCATTTGGCTTTAAAAATCGATGGTTTTTTAAAAGATCAAAAAAAGAAATTGATTTAAAATTTTTTCCAATTATATTTATTGAATATACTTATCGGAAGTGTGCTTGCAAAACTTAAAATGTTTAATTCTATATTTTATCCTGTGCCATGAGTGGCTTGTTCTTTAATTCCCGAAAAGATAAAACCACATATTTCTGGTTAGATACTGCACTGCTATTGCGCTGACCGCGGGTGTGCATACAGTACGAAATGGGTTATTTGCCGTTCCCTCTGCTGGGGACAGGGCAAACTTCATTAGTCAGTGATGTCAGCCGGCGCAAAGGTAGCACGGGCAGTGAGTCAGTCAGTCATTTAGTCGTTCAGACAGCGCGGTATTTGTCAGACCAAACGCCCCAAAAAGTGGGCGCCTGGGTTTACAGGATTCGTGATGGGTCGTAATTATTGTCAAAGGAAAGTCGATTAAAAAACCATCCGAAATAATGCAAATGGTATGGATGTTATAAGATATTCCTGAAAAAAAGAACCACCCACTTTGCACCTCGTTGCACTAATTTACTATTAAGGTAAAACTGTTGCAGGCTCCAAATTATCCCCCAATTTGGCTGAAAACATGCCACGAAGATTTCCGACGACGATGACGTCATGCCCTTCCAATAATTGTAGGTAGTCACATAAGTACTTGGATAGTTACTAACTATTAGCTGTAAAGCAATTAGAGGAAAACGTCATCGCGAGTGACGGGAGTAAGTCATCTTTTTGAATTGTTCGTTCACTTTTGAAAGTAATTTTTGTCCATATAAAATGTACATACAAAAAATTATATTTTAAATAAGGTAAGCTTTATGTTTAGTTTATATATATTACAATATTTGTTGTAAATTAAATATAAAATTGAAAATCTAAATGAGACATTTTTTACTTTAAAATTCTAAAGAATTCCAGTCTAAACTAGATAGATAGTAAAATCAAAATATTATAATAATAATATAATACATTTTGATTAACATTGTAATTTTGGATAATATAAACAATTATGATAAAATATTTACAAATTTCAAGACAACATAAAAGTATTTTAACGGAAAAAATCAAAACTGGCAGCACTGCCAAAAAATCTGGCATCACCGCCAACGATGTGTTTGTCACGGAAAATAAAAACTAAGCTTTGCTAAATTGAATAAAACACAATTCTCTTGGCATTGCTCTTTTAAATACTGAATATGAAAAAATATTTCTTTCAATTTAGTTTGTTAAATTTGGAGGGACCATATGATTTTTGAATATAATCGATTACCCGCAACGAAATCGATTTTCCTAGTGATGGGAAATTACGATCCGTCGATTGCGGAATCGATTTTATTTCCAGCTCTAGCACTGTGGCAGTGAGTGAGCGAGCCAGCAATACGCGAACGATTTTTGCGCAAAAACGGAGTTTATCAATAAATCGTTTTGTGCAATTGCATTGGATCAGGGAAACGCGTGAGTGCGAGTGCAGAAGATTATAGTTCGGTGTTACGACCTCTAGAATTCAACGTCTGCTCCGCGATTCGGGGGTGTGAAAAAAAAATTAAAAGGAACGTAGGCAACGATAACAACAGGCGGAGGGAGAGAGAAAGAGAGAGAGAGAGAGAGAGCAGTGCGGAGCTCGCAGTAGTGTTGTGTGTGTGCGTGCTGCCAACTTGTCGCACCAACTCGGTGTTGGTGCTGCTGGTTCCCCTCTGCTGCGGTGCTGCTGCTGCTAGTGCTGTGTGCGTGTGATTGGCTCTCTGATTTGAGCCTTTCGAAATGCCATACCTGGCGCTGTAGTCTCCTACAGGAACCGTAGATTTTCGGGAGCCACGAGCCCCCTGCCAAGGGTTATAGACTAAACCCCTCTTAAAAATATCTACGGAATTTTCAACAAGTTGCCAGCACAGCGTGCAACGCGCGCACACACACACACTCACACACAGGCAAACGACACGCACGCTGGAGAGAGGGCGAGAGAGAGAGAGAGGGAAAAGGAGAGGGATAGAGCGAGCGAGAGCGAGAAACAACAACAACAAGAGGCAACGTTTTTAGTGATGTCATCAGAAAGTAAGTTGATTTTTTTTCGGTTCTGTTCTGTTCCGTGCGTTGTGTGTGTGTTTTTCGTTGTTTTTTTTTCTTTGCTTTGCTGCCTCTCGCACACACAACGTTGTCATGACGTCATTCCACCAAAATACACACAACGGGCGCGCTGTTGTTGCTGTTGTTGCTGCTGCTGCTGTTGCTGGTGTCAGCAACATAAACGTAATCATCATCACTCGTCATCGCTGTGTGTCGCTGTCGCCAAACAAAACAAACGCAACAACAGTTGACAGTCGAACAGCAGCAGCCGCTAAGCATTGACCAGTGATCAGTGATTTATCTCGGGAATAATAAATAAATAAATAAATCCAATCCACAAATTCAACAAACCAACCCAACTTCCCCCCTCGATCCGATCTTCCTTGCAGCAACCCCTTCAAGCTGGCCAAATTGAAGCGGAAACGAAGCCAAACTGAAGCACTTGTCGGAGAGCGTCTCGGTGCTGCTGAAGATCGCCAGGATCGGCAATATGGACAACAGCATCGTCGAGGAGAACGGCAATTCGTCGGCGGCCTCGGCCTCCAACGATGTCGTCGATGTCGTTGCCGCCCAAGCGGCGGCAGCAGCAGCGGCGGCGGCGGCAAATAGTGGCGGCGGCGGCGGAGGAGGAGGCGGTGGTAACCCCCAGCAGCAGCAGCAGCAACAGAACCCACAGAGTACAACGGCGGGAGCGGCGAATAATTCGCAGGGAGCGGCCACCGTGCTGACCACCACCTCCAACTGCAATCTACAGTACCCCATCCAGACGCTGGCGCAGCACGGGCTGCAGGTGAGTGACAAGATTCCACTGATAGGGCTGAGTTATTTCCAAAGCCCCGGAACTGGGATATAAACTGTATTTCAGGGATTTATATATGAATTCCCAGACAGGATATATGCCATCGGGGCTGCCGTTAACTCTCCTCTGTCTATAAACTATAGTATCCTTTCTAATTATGAAAAAAACTCTTAACCCACAGGTGCAATCCGTGATACAGGCCAATCCCTCGGGGTCATACAGACAGCGGCTGGAACACAACAGCAACAACAACAGCAGCAGCAGGCGCTGGGCGCCGCCACAGCGATGCACAAGGGCGTGGGAGTGGTCTATGTGGCCAAGCCGGCCAACTCGACGGTCATTCACACGACCCCGGGCAATGCAGTGCAAGTGCGTAACAAAGTGCGTAGCTCACCGAGCGCCCCAAATTGGAGCCATCGAACTAATCACAATTGAATTTCCAATTCATCCGCTCAGATCCCTCCAACCTTTCCGACGTGTAAGATCAAACCAGAGCCAAACACGCAGCATCCGGAGGATAGCGACGAGAGTCTGTCGGATGACGACTCTCAGCATCATCGCAGCGAGCTGACGCGACGGCCATCGTACAATAGGATCTTTACCGAGATCAGTGGACCCGACATAAGCGGTGAGTTCCGGGGACTAAGCTCCACACACGCACACACACTCGAACACATCTCTGTCGCTCTCTCAACTCTCTATTCGCTAACCCAACGCATCGCGCCAGCCGATTTCTCTCATTAGTCATCCCAGGATGCAACCGAGCATCGTTTGGTCCATTCCCAAAGGGCTGCTGATCGGTCGATCCATCAAAATCCATTCATTCTTGCAGTGTTTGTAACCCAACAATTCACATTGGTCATTCGTTTTGTACAGTTGCGGTTGGGCAAAAAGCATTTAGTAGCGAAGAGGCCATAAGGCCCTCGAAGGACTTATTATTTATTATTGATCAGGGGCTTGTAACGCATAAGGAGGCTATAAAATCTGCATATGTCCTTTGCTTAATTTTGTAATTGATTTAGAGACTGTCTATATGTTGAAAGTTTTATGGTTTTGTAAAAATTGTAAATTGTCATATAAAAAACTTGACATAAATACAGATTAATTGAAATTATCTTAAAAAAAAAAATACTCAAGAACGCAGTCAGTAGTGATAACTCCCAGGACTTTGTAAATAGCATGTTTAATCATGTCAACTGTTTTGTATTGTGATCACAACTGTACACTTACCGTTGTATCCGTCGATGTCGATCGTTCACTCGCACTGTCCCGCTCTCACATAACCAAGTACCGTTAGGGCAAATGTAATATAAATTAATGCGATTCGTAATGCAAGTAATCTATTGCAATTTTGTTGTTGTTGTTGTTGATGTTGCTTAAAGAAAATAGTTGAAGGAGGGAAAACAAAGAAATCGTTGTAAAGAGTCCTTGAAATTCTAAAATTCCTGTAAATAAATCTCTCACCCTTACACGCACATACCAGCACCCGCAAAACACACACGCCTGCGCACATTCAAATGTACAATACAATCTACAGAGACAGGCATATCAACAATAACAAATGAAATAAGTAATATTTACTAAACACCTTACCATTACAACTGTTGTTGCTGCCTGTCTCTACCTCTACCTCTTCTCCCTCTCTGTATCTCTATCTTTCTATCTCCCCCCCTTTACTTTGCTCTGTCGTTGTTGTTGCTGTAATATCCTCGTTGTTGTTGCCGTTGTTGTTATTACACAGCTCATTATGCAAAAAAATATCTAAGAAAACTAGAAAAAACAAAAACAACCAACCTCACCTAACAGTACTTCTCAACCAATAACCCAGCTTCTCTCCACTGTCTCCAACTAACTCTCTATCTCGCCCGCTCGCTCGCCGCTCTCGCTCGCACTCACCCACTCAAGATCATAATGCAAAAAATAAATAAAATTAATTAAATAAAATCAGTCAAAATTTCTAAAATTGCATTTGAAAACTGAAATGAAAAATATGTTTTCTTATAATTTTTATTGTTGTTTTTTTCCATTGTTTTCTTTTCGACTGCCTTCCTACTCCACAAAAAAAAACTACCTATCAAAATTAATTCTGTCCTGAACAACAACCGCAACAACAACAACAACTCAACAACAAATCCCCCAAAAACCGACAAATTCCGAAACTGAAACCAAAAACCGATCCCGAATCCGAACCTGCATCTGCATTGGAATTGGATCGAATCGAATCCCAATTGGCAGGCGCATCGCTGACCATGTCCGATGGTGTGCTCAACTCTCAGCTGGCGGGTAGCGGTGCGGGGGGCAATGCGACGAATAGCTCACTGATGCAGTTGGACCCGACGTACTACATGCCCAATCGGATATCTTACAACACCAGTAATAGCCCCGGTCCAAAAAAAAGAACTTACTCATATAGCCCATAAATAGCGGGAAATGAATTGAACTTCTGCAACTCGATAGGCATACATTAATCTATCGAACTACTACTGTGAATCGATAGCTGTAATTTTAATTGTCGATATATTTCTGATTAAATATCGATATTGATTGATACATTTCAATAGATTGTCTACCTATCGTTCATAATCGATTTTTCATAGGTTTTGAGGTATAAAGAATCCTTCAACTATATTAATTTCAGCATCAATCAATATTTAATCGCATTTAATATGTGTTTACATCAAATTTTCTTTCCGATAGTTATTGAATTTGCTTTATAATTGAATTTAGTTCGATTCTTAATCGATAATAAATCTATTTCAATTTCAAGGTATCCAAATTCGAGTATAATTAATCCCGTATCCCTTTCGAGTTACAGAGAGTTCGACTTTTGGGGAAATTGATGCACACATTTTAATAAACAGATTAATTAATCAGTTTTCTTATCCTAATCTCTTGCAGACAATAGCGGGATAGCGGAGGATCAGACGCGTAAACGCGAAATCCGTTTGCAGAAGAACAGGGAGGCGGCGCGTGAGTGCCGGCGCAAGAAGAAGGAGTACATCAAGTGCCTGGAGAATCGCGTGGCGGTGCTAGAGAACCAAAACAAAGCGCTCATAGAGGAGCTCAAGTCGCTCAAGGAGCTCTACTGTCAGACCAAGAACGATTGAATGTGGGGCGTGCGCCTCCGCCTCCAGCTAAGGTTATGGCTATAGTTGCCGCCATTCTGGGAAAACGCGAAAAACACGAATGCCCGACAGCAGCGCTGCATGGATCCGCATATCATCATGATTTATATACGTATAGAATGCTCTATATGTGGATAGTGTGTACATTAAGTGTTATTGCGTTTATACGAAGCTCAGTTCATGGATAGTCATTTCATGTATGAGCTGTATGCGGGATCGCGTTGTTGTTAGGACAGAGACGGAGACGGACGATGGACGATGGACGATGGACGAGAGAACACAATTGTAATTATGTTTATAATTTAAAAGTTTAATATTATGTTTTTAATTAGATGTATGCCTTAGTTTACTTGCTAATTTAACGATACTGAAGTTATATCCACAAAAAAACATGTGTATAGCCTAAGCCCAAAAAGTCCTTTTATCCCTACGATTCTATACCCCAAGCTCCCCAAATCAATTGTAATTAAAAATTTTGTTTTATCTAATTCGTAATTACTGCAGGACATGCGAGTCTAGCGAAAGTGTTATTTTTTCTTAGCGAATTTGTAAGCAGGAACGCACGAGATAGAGAGAGAGAGATGTGTGATGTCTCCCCATTTAAAATTTATTTCTCTTGATCTAAATACCCAGTGGAACCAAAAAATGTAAGAGCGAGAGCTTTGTAAAACCTAAACTATTGTTTAATAGCTTGAAAACGAATCAAACATATTAATCTTTGATGAATCGAGGCAATTGTATTATAACTATCATCAATGGGTTTAAGCTGGACATAAAGAATGTTCGATATTTGTTCGATAAACGCTCTTTTTTATGATTCTTGTTTCGATACTTTTATCCACTGGGTATACATGTTTTATGTATGTATGTGTGTGCCGCTTGTGACGGAGGAGCGCAAAATAATAAAATTGTAACTATAAAAGGATTCAAATTAGGTTTTAATCGCACTTGGGCAAGGATGAATTCAATTATTCAAACACTTTGTTGCATAATTTTAAACGAAACGAAAATCGAAATCGCAGCCGAACACCTCCCCCTGTCTTTAAAAAAACATACAGTTTATATATATTATATATGAGATATACGTAGCTAGCGAATATTTGTACACTATTTGTAATATTTGTGGATCTTGTTTTGAATCAGACAGAGACAGAGAGAGAGAAAGAAAGAAAGAAAGAGAGGGATAGTAAAGGGTCCTGCCCCAGGCGAATCATCGAAAATAGAAGGCTTTTTTTGGTATGTATGGAACACACGTATATATATATGTAAAAAAAATTATATATATATATATATATAAAGCTAAACACTCTCGTTATCTCTTGTGATCAACTCAGTTGTTGTTATGAATGGTAGATATGGCGGGACAATTACGATATAAATGTATGGATGAACAAGTTCAAGTTCAAGGCCAGGCAGAACGAACTTTTTTTAAACAAAAAAATCTAGCAAAGGCAACAAAATAACCGCAACCGGAAACGGAAACGGTTAGAAAAAGCATAAGGAACCATGTATATCTCTCTATTTTTGATGTCCAAATCAAAACTGCTTTCTGCAGAGCAAAATACAAATTAAAAGTGAAACTGAATGCGAGAATTCAAAAAGAGCATCTCTTTTTTTGTCCGGGTCAGAGGAAGGTGGGAAAAAAAACAATAAAACAAACAAACAAAATAATAAATAATTTAAAAAGAAAACCAACAAAAGTTGCATTCAACAAAGTAAATAAAATATTTTTATTGTCATTGCATAATTCTTAAGCTAGTAATTTTAATATCTAAATCGTAAGCGCGGAAAACAAAGTAAACGGAAACAAGTATAAGCCACACAGCCCGAAGAAAGAAAATTCTGAAAACGAAAATGCAAAAGCGAAAAAGCAAACAACAAAAAAAAGAAGATATAAAAATAAAAAAAAATCAGTAGAAATTACAATATTGTTATAAATATTTGTCTCAATGAGAAAACAAACAAAGAAGAAAACTAAATCAACAACAAAGAAAATATACACAAAAAATAAAAACAAAAATAAATAAAAAAAAACAATAAAATATTTGAAAATAACGCTGCAGTTTTTTATTCAATACAAATTTTGACTTTATCTAAAAATATCACAGTTGAAAATATAAATGTTTAGAATCTGATATTTGGATATTATTATTACGACCTGTTTTGAATTAACAAATATTCCGCTGCATTTTAGTTTATATAAATCTCTATATAGATTTATAGAAATAGATGGATAGATAAATCTATATAGGTAAATTCCAATAGATTTTTAGGAGGTCTAGTCGGTTTGGTTCCAATATGGAATACTAAAACTTAAAATTCTCGTAAAAACACTCAAAAACGATATAAATATTTCAATATTTCGATATATTTCGCATTTTATATCCACTTTTGAGCCCCGCTTACAATAATTTAGCGATAATTATATTAAAATAGAGGACGCGAATCCGTTTCACAGAATCGTTTAATGTTTAAGTACTTACTTACTACAAGATACGAGATACAAAAGTACAAATAGTTGCCACTTAAATTAGGATGACGAACACCGATACAAATACGTATAGATCAGTCGGAGATACATATAGATAGATCCGGTTTATCTTCCGGTTCTTACGAGATAAATAGGTAGAGCACAATGGTGCCCACGCCAATGTAGTGACTTAGGTAACCGGCCTTCTTCCAGTGCCACAGAAAGCCCTCCTCCTCCACTGTGCCGGCGGCTCCCGTTTCGAGGCTATCGCCCAGCAGCACCACACCCAGGTAGGCCAGATGGAAGATGGCCAGCGCCGTGAAGCCCAGATTGGCCAAACGAACCAGCCAGCCTCTGACGGAGATCCAGGTTCGCTGTTTGCTCACACAGTTGCTGTAGCGACATCGCTCCGCGCCCGGACAGAGATTTGCGGAGAGGCAGGCGTCCAACATGCTGGAGAGTTGTCTTCGTAACAGTGACTCGCCCGCGGCAAAGACAGCCAACGAGATGAGAACTACGTAGATACGGAGATCCATTCCGTGCAGGAGGCTGGACACTAGATATGTGCAGAAGACGGCCAGGAGTGTCTGCGTCCGGGAGTGCCTGCCCGTCGTCTTGCAGGGCGTGTAGATGTAACGCTTCAGCCACTCGTGCATGGGTATGTTCCAGCTCCGCACCAGCGAGCTGATTGAGCGCGGCCATTCGATACGCCAGGGTTGTGCGACCAAGGGTCCCAGGAGTTCAGACTCCCGAGCGCCACCGCCACCATCCAGCCGCTGATCGGTGACCACCAGCAGCGCCTGCGCTATAAATCCCACGAAGTAGTGACTGCTCCGCACACTCAGCGCATCCGTGTACATGGCCAGAAAGTGCCAGCCGCCGGCGAGGTCACTCAGCAACGGTGCCAGACAATTGGACACGGTCACGGTCAGCAGGCAGAGCACGGCATTAGCCACTGTTCGACGCAGGGTGAGCAGCCAGCTGCTGCGGGGCACCAGACAGTTGCTGTAGCTGCCGAAGCTCACCCAGGGTCCCAGGGCGCAGGTGGCGGGACTGTAAATATAGCCCAGATAGGCCAGCGGATTGGGTATGCCCGCCAGCTGGCCGCCGCACAGATCGAAGCCCAGCGAGATGAGCTTCATGTTGACCACCATCTGGATGCCGCGCAGCTGGGGCCAGTCGCTGCGCTTCCGCCAAATCAGCAACTCGTACAGGAACTGGCTGCCAATGGTGAGCAGGGCCAGGAGCTGGGCTCCGCGCCGTCCCAGGCGCAGTAGCTGGAGCAGCAGATAGCCTACGGCGGCCAACAGCAATAGCAGCCAGAGGCGAAAGCCCACGGTGAAGTGCAGCAGAGTTAGACCGCACCCGAGGTGGATCAAATGCAGGGGCGCCATCCGTAGGGAGGACTGGGAGAGGCGACCTCGCCGTGCGTAAAGGAGACAAAGGAGGCGGCACACCAGACAGAGCAGCAGCATGGGTGCCACATACTGAAGGACCTGCAGCAGCGAGGGCTCAATACAACTCTGCAGGATTTGAGGTAACCTGTCGATCAGGCCGCCGTCATGGTACGCCGCCTCTCCCTCCTCTCCTCCACCGAGATAATAGTCCTCCTCATCCTCCCCATCCTCATCCTGCGGCTTGCCGTAACTGTAGTCCAGGCCGCCGGCGGCAGCCAGCTCATCCTCGTCCACGTCAATGTAATCGGACTCCTCGTCGTAGTACTGGTAGTCCATCGGCGCTTTGGAGGGAGAAAGGCAGTTCCGTTCCAAGCCAGAAGGGATTTGGGATATGGGATGCTGGGACCCGGCGAATCGCCGATTAGTTCAGTGTGACCGTATGCAGAGCGCCAATAAATCTTTAAGATGATCATCTGGAGTGGATTTAGGTTATTTTTTTACTTTTCTTTTATTTATGTATTTTTTCTAAAGCTTTTAAATCATAATTTAAATAATTCATTCAGTCATTTCCGGTCCTATAAAATATATATATATTTTATCAGCAACATTCTCAGTTCCCTGTCATATAGCTTTAAATGAAACTTAGCAAGTAGTCATCTTTTTATTTATATATGTACATATATTAGTATATAACTTAGAATAAGCCGGTTCACGGACTATATATCATATATATATATTAAATGTAGAATAAAATGAAGTTACTATTGTTTTTCACTGAGTTTGAAAGTATTTGACATTTGGATATATTAAAAATAGCATATGAAAAATCGTGTTTTCTCTGATTTTTTAATATCTCGGCTAATCAAACGCGTGCAGCAATACCAGTAACGTCAAACAAAGGACATTCATTGTCGTAATTGTAAGGCTTATAACTTCGATTTCAGAACGCGTCCACATATACACGGTATATAGGATAACTAGGGGAAGATTAACGAATAAATAGTACAAATTTCAATTGTTTTTAACTGTCAAATTTCGAGAAAATCGAATAACAGTAGGTGGTGTATTTGGGCTGATATCTAAGGCGCGATCTATGAAAATGGAACCAGATGGGAACCTGCTGAGAACCACTCGCTGAACCAGATCATGGAACCATGAACCATGGAACCTAGACCCTATCGATGAATCGCCAGAAAATATTCCTATATTCCATTTACGCAATTGTATAAAATATTCATGCTCCATGAATGGAATTTAAATTCCAAGAATTTTGGTAGATGTTTTATCAAAATCCGTTCAGCCGCTCAAGAGAAAACATCACTTTTGCATTTATTTCCATAAATGTTCCTTCGGAGAATGAATATATCTGGCAGCACTGCCTGCCTAAAATTAAGTCGATTTGATTTAAACTTTATTAAAAAAACATTTGCAAATTGAAGATCGTACCATTAACGGAATCGCAATTCGAAATATTTTGATCCATGTTTCGTCAAAATCCGTTCAGTCGTTCATAAGAAATCCCGATTTTTTCATTTATTTCCATTTAAGTGCCAGTGAAGAATAAATATATCCGGCAGCCCTGCCTGTCTAAAAATAAGAAAATTTGATTTAAGCTTTATGCTTGAACGTATGCAAAAGGAAGACTGTCCCATAGATGTCATTGCAGTTCTGAACATTTTGATATATGTTTCATCAAAATCCGTTCAGTCGTTAAAGAGAAATACGGAATTTTCATTTATTGCAGTTGGGTACCAGGGTGCATAGTCATGCCTCCTCTGTACATAAATTAGTAATTCAAATGTTAATTTCTCCAAAACGACTGAACGGATTTCAATGAAACACCTACCAAATTGCTTAGAAAAATTATATCATTTATTGAGCAGACTATTAAATGTTATTTAAAAAATTTGCTTTTCAAATCTTGTGCGTCAATGCCCTTGCTTTGTAATATGATTTCAGGTGAAAAATTTGCAGCGCAGTGAATAAATTATTTCCGACCCTATAAAGTGTATATATTCTTGATCAGCATTAACAGCCGAGTCTATCTAGCCATGTCCAGCTGTCTGTTTGTTCAATTATAAGAAAACTAGACCCTCATATTTAAAGTTATCTAAATAGAATTTTCCAGTTAGCCTTTTATACACTCTCACTGGTGTATAATGGATTAAAATGTTCAGAACCACAATGACGTTTATTCCATTTGCATACATACGTCCTACCATTAAGATTAAATAACGTTCTTTTATTTTATATTCTTCGTCAAACATACACACATACCTACATTCATTTAAGGCAATAAATGAAAATTCAGGATTTCTCATAAACGACTGAACGGATTTTGATGAAACATATATCAAAATGTTCAGAACTGCGGTGCCGTCTATAATACAATCTTCCTTTTTAATAGGATTAACCATAAAGTTGAAATCAAGTTTTCTTGTTTTTAAGCAGGCAGTGATGCCAGATATATTTATCCTTCGAAGGAACATTTATGGAAATAAATGCAAAAGTGGTGTTTTCTCTTGAACGGCTGAACGGATTTTGATGAAACATCTACCAAAATGGTTGGAATGTCAATTACATTCATGTGGCATGCATATTTTATTCAATTGCGAAAATGGTCAATAGGAATATTTTCTGGCGGGCTATTCATCGATAGGGTGTGGGTTCCGTGGTTCATGGTTCCATGGTCTGGTTCAGCCAGTGGTTCTCTGCTGATTCCCATCTGGTTACATTTTCATTAGAAACAATTGAAATTTTCGCCAAATATTATAAAGTTAATACTGTTCATATGTGCGCGCGTTCGTAAATCGAAGTTCGTAAATCGAAGTTTAAATTTTGGATGGCCTATATTGTATGGAGCCGTCCCTGACGTTAGATCATTGTTTTGCGTTTTGCTTACTAACATGCTTATTTTTAATATATCCAAATGTCAATTACTTTCAAACCCAGTAAAAACAATATTAAATTTATTTTTAGAATTTCAATCTTTTTTATTCGAATAATTATTTATGAAATAAATTAAAAATTAAAAATCTCCATGTTCATTTTCCCACCGCTTCATTTTGACGCTAACTCATCGACGCTAATTTGACGGACATGCTTCTCTCACTGTATTTTTTTCAATGCAGGTTACGGTCACACTTCGCTTTTGGTAAATAAAATCTTCAGAAACTTAAGAAAACAATCAACTATTTGGAATGACACGCCACGCCCGTAACTGCACGGCAGGAGCCGTCTACACATACAACGAGAAGAAGCGGGATGCAGCAGAGTCCGGCTATGGGACGAACGCCCAGCGGCTGGGCAAGGATTCCGTAAAGTCCTTCGACTGCTGCTCCCTCACGCTGCAGCCATGCCGAAGGCCTGTGGTGACCAAGGACGGCTACCTGTTCGACAAGGAGGCCATTCTGCAGTACATTGTCACCAAGAAGAACGAGTACAGCCGCCGGCTAAAGGAGTACGAGCGGCTGCGTCGCGCCGAGGAGGATCAGCTGAACCAGGAGGCCAACACACAGCAGCAGGCGCGCATGGATCGTTTTGTGAACGCCGAGAAGCCAGCGATGACACCCGCTCATACAGCAGCTAAAAACAGCGAGAAGCCGTCCACGTCTGCCTCTGCCGCCGCTGCGGCAGCATCCGGCTCCTCCTCCAGTTCCACTTCCATCTCCAACATGACCAACGGGCATGAAAAGAAGCTGCCCAGCTTCTGGCTGCCTTCGGAATGTCCCAATGCTGGTTTGGCCAAAGCCAAAAAGCCGGATCCTGCCATCTACTGTCCCGTATCGCAGCAGCCGCTAAGAGTCAAGGATCTGATCGATGTAAAGTTCACGCTGCTCAAGGATGGCGATGCCAAGCGCTCGCTGATTGCCAAGGAGGCGCGCTACATGTGCCCTATAACCCACGATGTGCTCAGCAATGCTGTGCCCTGTGCCGTGCTGCGTCCCACGTGAGTTCTCAGCGGGATTGATCCCTCTCTGGAAATGTTTATTATTTCATTGTATGTTTTAGCGGCGATGTGGTGACCATGGAGTGCGTAGAGCGACTGATTAGGAAGGACATGATCCATCCTCTGACCGATCGCAAACTCAAGGACAAGGATATCATTCCCCTGCAGCGAGTGAGTGCCAAATAAATGGGTTAAGATGAAACAATTGTCTCAATTTTCATGTTTCTTCCAGGGCGGCACTGGCTATGCAACCACCAATGACAATCTGCAGGCCAAGGAGAAGAGGCCCATGCTTCAGGTCTAAAATATACATATATAAACATATAGACACCCAGAAAATACTTGTTAAGATGAAAGTTATGTTTGTAACCCTAAGCGGAAATGTAACATCTTAGGTTTCTTTTAACTTTTCATTTTTTTAGAGTTTTACATGCATTTTTATCCTCCGAGATATTCAAATCAAGTTCTATAGCTGGTTTTAAGTTACTTTTGTGTTAAAACGTCTTTGCCAAACCCTTATATATTCCTATTTTATAAGTCTAATTTCTTTTTTATTCGAATGAATAACAAAACCACAGTCAGTAAGAAAATTAAACAGAATTAATTTGAACTAAAGCGATTTTTAAAGTAGAATATTGGATTTTACTATGTTCTATTGAATTTCAAGACTTTAACAACTACAATTTTCCCCATTTTAATAAACAAAACTCGATAACTTGGGTTAAGGTATAATATATATTCATTTTGCATAAGTGTGTGTGTAACGTGTAATGTAAATTGAAGAATTGCGGCTGGCGGAATGCGGGCGGGTGGCCGAAATACGTCGTCTAGATACGTCGCTCTTGGCGGTGGCTGGTCGTCCACGTCCAGTTCCACGTCCACTAGGCCGCCTGCACCGACTGCTTCTGCGAGGAGCTGATTTTGTCGCCCAAACTCAGGGCCATGCCCTATTCAAAGACGAAACAGTGAGTAAAAAAAACAATTGAAAGAAGCAATCCGTATATATTCTCACCTGGCTTTTGGCGCGAATGCGTATGTGTCCTGTCACCTTGGAATCGGGATCATCCACGGGTTTTTCGATACTCAGATTGGCCAAGGCATTTTCTCCGAAAATGGACCTAAAAGAGTCCCAAAAATAGTAAGCAGAGCTTCGCCAAGCAACCAGAGATGGGGAGAGACTTACTTGGCATACATATTGGCGGCCATGAAGCCACATTGCCCGGACAGCGCCTTTTCCGGCGTCAGGCACTTCATGTTGGTGCTCTTCAGCAGATGCCTGAGATACTCGTGCAGATCGGTGAAGCTGGTATTGACCGTCACCTTGTTCTCCCACTCAAAGTCCTGCCACATCTGCCGGAACTCGGTGTCCGTGCAGCTGGCCGGAATGATGTAGTCCATGATGTCGATATGAATGGTATTGAGCACCACCACGTTGGTATTCAGGGCGGTGTCGTAAACTGTAGAATATCAATTAGAAAACGAACCATTTATGCTTCTTCTAGATGATTACACTCACCAATATTGCCAAAGATGATGCCATTCTCCGTGGAGGAGACCTTCACGTTGGCCTTGATGTTGCAGAAGTCATGCGGAGCGAGAACCACAGGATGCGGTCGTTCCACCAGCTTCAGGTCGCCCAGCGTGGCCAGCTCCAGGGTGCAATTCTGCAACGTGTCATCTGCAAGATAAAAAGAAGTTTTAAACCAGACTCTTTCACGCAAATCAAGATCTCTACTCACTGGTCTGGTTAACAATGAGCACATCCAACACGATGTCGTATTGGTTAACATTGACATAGGCCTCGGCGTAGACGGGATCCGAGAAGCCCGTCAGCTGTGTGACCTTGTTGAGCTTGCTGTTCGGCGAGGCCACGTCGCTCAGCTGCTGGGCGGTCTTGTTGCCGGCCAGCGCCTGATTGAGACTGGATTCGAACACATTCTCGCCCAGCTGGTTGTCGCGTCCATTGGAAAGCTGGGCAAAGAGAACCGGATCGTCCGGCTGTACCTTGGCGGTGGCCCGTTGCTTCTCCTTCAGCACTCGTTGATCCTCATCGGCCTGTGCGTCCAGCATTTTACCCAAAGCCTCGCGGCAATATTGCGTGAACACGGACACCGCCTCCGGCGTGCGTTCGCTTAGAGCACGCAGGCAGACAAAGATGCGATCGGTGTCATCGTTGGTAATCGGCTTGCTGGGGAATCCAGACTTGCCCAGATGCAGAATAGAGCTCATGATCAGCATCACTTGCGTGGTCAGGCGGTTCTGGGCCCGGGCCTCTGGCTCTAGATCCCCATAGCGCAGAGCGAGTTTGGTCAGAGTGGCGGATAAAGCAGCGCCGATGAAGAAGTCACCATCCATCAGATATTGACGCAGCGGCGGACGCTTCTCGGCCTTGGCCACACTGCGGACAGAAGGAAATAAAAGTAATCAGGTTTATTCCAAGAATAATAGTGTAAATAGTGTAAATGATATGGGAATGTGGAGAGCCAACCCAAGGATGACTCATCAGGTTGACAAGACCACATGGCCATTTAGTTTATAGATCAACTTACGGGGCCAGACTGTAGGCGCTTTGGGTGGCATAGGTTCCATCGGAGGTGACCTTGTTGCTGGCATTTCCCGATCCCTGTGTGGCCGAACCATCGCCAGCTGAGTTGGCATTGCCCTGCTGCTGCTCCTCGTTGCTCTGTTCGCCGGTTAGGCGACGCTGCTCTGCCTCCACCATGGGCACATCGCCCAGCGTCTGCTGAATGGCGGCAATCACCTCGAGTATCTGCGGTCCCTCAACGTACTCGCCCAATATCCAAACAGCGGCACGATGAATTTTCGACGACTTGATCTGGGGGAAGGCCTCAATCAGATTCTCAATGATGAGGGCGCGCAGGGCGGGGAACTTCTGGATGGCCTCGCGGATAAAGATCAACACATCAGCGGCAGCCAGCTCATTGGTGTCCGAGAGGAACTCCACCAGCACGGGTATAACAGTGGCCGCCACATCGGGGAACTTGATCGAGCAGGTGTGCAGCGTGCGGACAAGCAGCTGTCGATACTTTCCGGTGTCCTCGTGCTCCACATTGTGCGTCTTGGCCACCTCCTTCTTCAGTACCAATACCATTTCGCCAATGTTGCGGGAGTAGACCAGGTCCAGGGCCAAGGCGAGGGTCTTGCGACGGACCTCAATGTCTGGAGCGGCCAGCACTCTGAGGACGTCCATTACCAGGTCCTGCATGACCTTCTCCATGCCCTCGTGCTCCTTCATTGCCACCAGGCGATCCAAGACAATCAGCTTTACATTATTGTCGCTCTCCTTGACCACCAGCTCGATGTAGCAGCTGGCCGCCGCCTTTATGGCAGTAGGAGCCAGCGATAGCGTGATCAGTGTGCCGGCGGACTCATAGCGCACCGCATTCGAGCTGGAGTTCAACAGGTTGTAGATGCAGCGGATGAAGCGCGAACGCTCGGCCGGATTGGCGTGGCACACCTTGTAGATGAGCTCCACGATCACCAGCTGCAGGATGTCGCCGAAGCTGTGCACTTGGTCGATGCACGAGGCCAGGTAGTTGAGCGCCCGCTCCTGGTCGGCGTGCAGCAGCATGAGGAAGGCGTTGCGCTTGCAGCTCATGTCCTGCTGCGTGTCCAAGAAGCTGGCGATCAGCTCCGGCCCATCGGGAACCAGCCAGTCGAAGTTCTTGTAGATGGTAAAGATGGCCAGAACGGCGTTGCGCCGCACATACGAGTGACGGTGGTCCAAGCAGGCACGGATGGCCGGCATCAGCGGCTCTAGGAGCTCCGGCTCCTTGAGTTTGCACAGGAAGCGCAGCGTGGAACCGCGCAGGAACTCATTGGGATGCTGCAGATCCTTGCGGTAGGCATCGCACACCAGGATCATCTCCTGCAGCAGCTTCCCGTCCGCCGAGGTCTTCGGCACAACCTCCCAGAAGATCAGCAGCAGCTTCTTCACCGTATGATTCTGCACGGGCAGCACGAACCGGATAATGGTCATGATCAGGCCCGGATAGCGTTCCCCGTTCAGCAGCAGCTTGATCACCTTCTTCAGCGTCTCGATCTTTACGTTCGTGTCGCCCTTTTCCAGCTCCTGCTTCAGCTGCATCTCGTTCGGCACCTCCATGTCCGGCGAGTTGATAATCGTGTAGCACGGCACTTGCGACGTCATTGTGGCGGTTTCTGGCTGTCCAAGGCTGGTGGCACAATAGCGGGTTCAGTGGGGCCGCAGAATTGGTGCGTTTCGTGGCCGGATTTCCTTAATTTTCGTAATATTTCTCAATTTACACGGAGTGTTTCCGACGTGTCACTTGAAATAGTGGTGGTACAACGTCGATTGTTCTATCGATAACAGCGAGAGCTCCACTTTGGGCGGCAATATCGATTGATTTTTAAACTGCGATGTGGCGATAGCAAAGAACAATGGCCCGTTTTCATTTGGTCTGGATTTTTTTGAAAAATGCTGATTTCTTTCCAGTGTAGAAGTAATCTGTCGTGACTCACGAGTTTCGTTAAGTAGTCTCTTTAATTTATGTCTAAAAAATGCTATTTCGACTTGTTCAAAACATTTAGTTTGCTTATTTTACTTAATCAATTAAAACTTTTTCCTTAAATGTTATAGTTTAATATGTATACATATTTTTTAAAGATCAACGATATCGAATATTAAAAATATATATATTTTTACACATGTGCTGACCAGTGATTTCTTTAAGTGGTATTTTCTAGTTATTTTTAGGATTTCTTTTTTAACATATTTATATTAAATAACTAATGAAGTACACTAGGAAAATTATATGTGAAAATAATTTCAACTTTCTTAGTTACAGATTAAGAAACGTTACTGATCCAAATATCAAAATGTAAAGAAAAACATTTTACAAAAATCGCTTTAGCTGGATTTTTTTTTAATAAAATAAGAAAATAAGCTTTTATAGCGAGTTTGTATATCTATATCATAAAGCTGTCATAAAAACGATTGTTAAACGAAGAGGAAATAAATATTACATGTACATATGTATGTATAACTAGATAAATGTAAAGTAAGTAGGTATTACTTAGTGGTTTTTAACTTAAATATATATAATTTATATTATATTCATTTTACGAGACCCTTCTATGTCTTTTTGTTTAAAGCAATATTTATACACCTACAATTTTACTTAAAAGCTTGCAATGCAGTCATTTTTGTGCCTATAAATCATATTCTTCTTATATTCTTATATTCTTCTTATAACCCCTAATAAAATTGTCAATAACTGAATATAAATGTATAATTTTTAAAATTTTAAATTCAATATGCAAACCAGAATTTGAATTGAATTTAAATTAATTAATAAAAAGTATAATACTGTAAAATTTTCCAACGAGAACTATACTAAATTATATAAGTAGTATATAAGATTAAAATACACTAAAAGGAATTACATTTTTTAAATTTAAAAAAAATAAAATAAAAAATTATATTTTAAAATTAAAACTAACACAGTTAAACTCTCAGATATAAAATTAACTCATTTATGCGATAGCTATGATGATGGGTCCTCTGTTCCTATTACAAACTGTAAAGAGTATACAAACTTCGGGTACCCTATATTAACTTAATTTTTGTTTTTGTATGTTTTGTTGTATTTAATAAAACCTACGTGACCTTTGCCAATAATGGTAGTTCACACGTAGGTTCCACAAGTTCTAAACATACCCCATAAATTTTAAGGCGATCGGACGTTGAGAAATGGAATGTCATGGAATGAAATTCAACATGGGGAAAAATGGGGTTTCGAGAAAAAGGCAAAAGAAATATATCATAAGGGAAATAATAAAGGTGGATATGGAGGAGAAGGAGAATCAAGCAAAGCTCTACTTTAACTCACATTAATTGCTTTAAAATCTAAAGTTATTTTTAATCCATTTATTTTACTATATTTACGAATAAAACAAAATGAAAAGCAATTCAATTGAATGCTAATTATTAATCTTCTCTCTAATTAAAACTTCATAATTTTGTTGCAACTTAAAAGTGAATATCTTAATAGCTTTGGCACGTTCTAATTAAATTTTATTTTAATAAATCATAAAACTAAACAGACTTGAATTAATTCAAATATGTCTCGGACTGTGACCAGCATATACGTAATAATTACGCTGACTTTATAATTTAAATTATTACATATTTTTTAAGTCATTCAAATAGCAACAATATTTGTTGTGGTTACCTGGTGCTGCAGATAACCTCCCATCATCTGCTGCGGTCCAGGGAACACTGATAAGGGATCCAAATTGGCGAGGAAAATCCCAGAACCCATTGCTAATCCAGGGGAGATTCCCGTCCAACTTTTGACCTTGCAGAGTGTGGCGTTGTGTTGCATACAGAATAATTCCAGTGACTGCTAGTGTATGCGGCATAATAAACGATCTAATTCGCTTCGGAGGCTCATGCCCAGCAAAAAAAAAAAGATCCCCCAGCCGCACCCACGCTGCTTCCCGCCACATCACCCTATTTGTGGCCCATTCGTTATTCAACCACGCCCCCTGCATTTTAAGCAGATCGCCGCCAATTTCACTTGGTGTGTCTCCCCCCACCCCCACCCCCGCACTGCACTCCACTGCTCGAAATTGCGGGTGACTTGCCTAGAGGTGATCCCATCAAAATTAAATCCCGGCCGTTGAACAGGTTCTGTGCCTGAGTAAACTAAGTGCTCGATAGCGAAGCGAAAAATCTCATAAATATATAAAATAGAGGGAAATTTCACAACGACTATGGTATACTCTAACAAAATAATTGGGAATATAATTTAAAATATGATAACGATAATGATATCGGGCTTATTATCATTTCAAACTTGAATTTATCGGAATTTAAAATGTCAAACTATATCGATTTGACCTTTAAAATACCAATCTTATCGAAAAATAGTCGATAAGCGATCTCTAATTTATTATCCGGCGTAAAGGTGCAATATATCTAACGGAATTATAGAAAATTTAATATCGAAACATATTCAATAATCGTTTAAAAATTATTTGTCTTTTTTTTGGGTGATAAATCAAATAGAATATCGATTTTTAAAGCGTTAAACCCAACAGAATATCGATATATTGCAACGTTACATCTTGATGTAATTGGAAAAAATTTCTTTTATATATTTTATTTTATTTATTATATTGATTTATTATATTGATTTTATCGATATAGTCTTCAGCAGTTTAAATGTAATTTCTCTAATATATTCATATCAATTTTACCTTAACATTTTTAAATAAATATAATATCTATGTCAGAGAAACTGTTTACTGCAACTCTTACCAAACTTTTCTGTATTCCCAAAAATTATCGCGACTTTAAGATGTTTATATATCTAATTTTTAAAGCAAATCTCTTTACTGTACCATTAGCACTCATTTTGTAGGGTATAAAATGACACTCTTTTATACACAATTCTAAGAAAAGTATATTAAATTTAAAGATATCAAACTAAGTCTGCGAAAGTGAATAATGAGTTTTGCGATTTTGTCCCCTTAAAAGGGCTCCAGACCAACATTCCTGGAAAACGTAAGTACAACAAACAAACAGCTTGGTTTATCAGTTATTTAATTCAATACGATTCCCATATATAGTACCAAGCAGTAAGTCCCCGAGATCAGGCAAACAAGTCTACTATATAGACATCAATCGATTAGGAGATCAAGTGCCAAGACAATTAACTGAAGACAGGGGCGTCAGTTTTCTATATATTACTTGAACCTCTTAATGGATTATTATGTCCCAATAAAGTGTAGAAATCATTAAAGTGAAGTATATACAAAGATATACATATATGATATAACCTAGGCTTTGTGCCATGTTCTGAATTTGATTGATCACTTTTTTTCTCTTAAACTTAAGGTAGATCATGGATAATAAATATAAAACACAGCGATTTGTAATAGCTCATAGACCCTAGGTCTAGTCACGTTCCCAAAGGAACCTAGGGGGAAAAAAACCGGTCCCATTGGAGTGTCTTTCTTTCTTTTTTTTTGTATTTATTATTATTATTATTTCAGTACATAGAATGGCAGAGAACAAAGCGAGCAAAAAAAAAAGCAACAGAGAGACTATAAAAGCTGCCGGCCGGCTTAACCTTCTCCACAGTCGAGCTTCAACTGTTCCTGAGATGACGCCGCCCCCAAGAGAGATTCACAACTGGGTGCTGCCCTTGGCGGCCACCGCCTTACTCCTCCTAACCGGAGTGGCCCGGGCTGAGGAACCCATCTGTAGGTGGTCCCCAAACCCAATCAGAGTGACCCCTATCTAACTTCCAGTGATCTCTGCTTTCAGATCGCCTTTGTGTACCCCAAATTTACCTGACCGAGTGCCAGCAGCTCCTGGCCGATCCCTCGGAGGCGGGAATCCGAATGGAATGTGTTGCCGGTAGGGATCGAGTGGATTGTCTGGAATTAATCGAGCAACGCAAGGCCGATGTGCTGGCCACGGAGCCGGAGGACATGTACATCGCTTACCATCGTAAGAACGAGGACTATCGCGTGGTCTCCGAGATTCGTACGCAGCAGGACAAGGATGGTGAGTTGGGGGAAGTACTTGAAGTTCCTGGAAATCTAAATTAAACAAAATACCTCCCCCCCCTAGCTGCCTTCCGTTACGAGGGCATTATTCTGGTGAAGAAGACCTCACCGATTCGCACCTTGGAGCAGCTGCGTGGCGCCAAATCCTGTCACACCGGTTTCGGACGCAATGTGGGCTACAAGATTCCCATCACCAAGCTAAAGAACTCGCATGTCCTCAAGGTCTCCGCCGATCCACAGATCTCGGCCACGGAACGTGAGCTGAAGTCTTTGTCCGAGTTCTTCACCCAATCCTGCCTGGTGGGCACCTACTCGACGCATCCGGAAACCGATCGTCTTCTCAAAAAGAAGTACTCGAATCTGTGCGCTCTGTGCGAGAAGCCGGAGCAATGCACCTATCCGGATAAATTCAGTGGCTACGATGGCGCCATTCGATGCCTGGACAAGGGACAGGGCGAGGTGGCCTTCTCCAAGGTGCAGTATATCAAGAAGTATTTCGGTCTGCCCGGCGCTGGTCCGGATGCACCCAAGGCGGAGGGCAATCCGGATGACTTTGAGTATCTGTGTGAGGATGGCACAAGGAGGCCCATCACTGGACCGGCCTGCTCCTGGGCCCAACGACCCTGGAGCGGTTATATCTCCAACGAGAAGGCCGTTCACAACACGGAGCAGCTGCATCAGCTGCAGTCGCGTCTAGAGCGATTCTTTGCCAATGGTCTGCAGGCGCAGAACAAGGATGCCGCCGCCCATTTGCTCATCCAACCGAATGCCGTTTATTATAGCAAGGAGGCGGCCATTGATCCCAAGGTCTATCTGGAGCGGGCTGGCTACAAGGATGTGATCGAGCGTGATGGCAGTGCCATCCGGAAGATCAAGTTGTGTGCCCAGGGCGATGATGAGTATGCCAAGTGTCAGGGTCTGCATCAGGCCGCCTATGCCCGTGATGCTCGTCCTGAATTGGAGTGCGTCCAGTCCACCGATTGCCTGGAGTCCATAACCAAGAAGGAGGTGGATTTGGTCATTCTGCCGGCAACGGGTTATGCTGAGGCACGTCGCAATAAGCTCCAGCCGCTGGTCTACGAACAGAGGGCCCAGGACGATGTCCTGGTGGCAGTGGCAGCCCCAAGTGTGGGACGTGAGGCGCTGCAAAAGGCCAATATGTAAGTGAGAGAAGTCCTTGCTTTGCCTTAATATCTCTGGAGATCTCTCAAGGAACGAAACCAGATCATAATCCTTAATGGCATCCTTTATTTCCATAGCAAATTCGATGAGGGATCTGAGCGCGCCCGCTTGGCCGCCGCCTTCTTGAACAAGCGACGTGACCTGGACGCCTGCCGTGTTACCTCCTCAGCCGACGCACCTGTCCAGATTGTGCCCGCCACCGAGCTGGAGAAGCACAAGGATGAGCAGCTGGTGTGCCCCAGCTTGGAGCGACGACCAGTCACCGATTTCCAGACCTGCAACGTGGATGTGGAGCTGCCGCGCGCCATCTTCATTAGAACCGATACCACGTCCGTGGAGCAGGACACCGTGAAGCATTTGTTCTCACTGATCTCGGACAAGTTTGGAGCTCACGGCAAGTTGGTGGATGTCTTTGACTTGTTCGGAGAGTTCCAGAAGGGCAAGCATAACGTGTACTTTGATGTGAGTTTCAAACTTATCTCTTTAGATTCTTTAGAGGTTTATTAAATGTTTTTGTTTTTCTTGTTTAGGACAAGGCTGTTGCCCTGGCCACAGAGATCAAGAGTGAAATCCAAGATGAGCAGATCTATGGAGAGCTCCAGTGCGATGGCAACAAGATTGCCAAGCAGTAAGGAACTCCTTTCGATATCAATAAACTTTAAGATGAATATTTCAAGCAAACTTTGTTTTAAGTGCTTATTTTAGGGGAGAATTTAGATAGTTTCATTTCCATAAGGACAATTCTCTGATTCGCTACTAAGAAAGAGAAAAAGGGAGAGAGAGAGAAAGAGAAAGAGAGAGATAGAGTGGTAGAGAAAGAGAGAGATAGAGTGGTAGAGAAAGATGGAGCGAGTGACAGAGAAAGAGAAAGTTATAGAGAGAATGATAGAGAAAGACAGAGAGTGGAAGAGAAGTGATCTCTCTCCTAGGATCGTTAGGTTTTAATCTAAATCTCTTCGCATGTGACTACTCTCTCCCTCTTTTGCTCATCAACACTTTGTAGCGAACGAGAGAGCTCTCATTAGTTGCTCTGTGAGAGACCTTATATCATATCCCGAATATCATGAAGTACAATCACAAGAGAAACAAAAAACTGAAAAACCTACAAGAGATATTTCGGAGACAAGTTTCATAACATTCGGTTCTCAAAGAGATTTCTCCTCATCTAAAGGTTGAGCTCAATTCACAAGCTCTTTATATAATCTATAATTAATTCACTCACTTATTCTCATTCAATTACAGCAATATATGGTTTTAATTTAAAAAAAAACACATTATATGTATGGAACCAGCTAAATGTATAATGTATAATGTATATATCATATATGGTATATATATATATAGTTTCACATATCTGTGCTTGGGTAAAATCGCCAGGGAAAATCGTACGTTTCACAATTGCTTAGACCGCGGATTCGGTTTTTTTTGGGAGCGTTTCAGGGATCAAGGTTACATAGTAAAAGGATTGGGAGAGGGGGGGGGTATTTTGTTGAGAAGAAAAATTCGTTGATCCTAACATTCCTGTGGCGGTGACTCTATTCCTCTAATCCTCGGAAGCATCGCGCAGCGGCTGCTCTGGGGAGGACTCGGCGCCACTTGGCGTCTCCTCCTCCTCGGAGTAGTCCTCGTCATGGGTGTGGGTTACCACAGTGGGCGTGGAGGGTCGAGTGTGTACAATGGAGCTCTGCAATGACACGGATTAATATCACATCCTACTGAATATATAATTATCAAATGATGACTTACCGCACGATGCAGATCCTTGGCATCCTTGGTGTCTTTCAACTGCTCCGTGCCGGCAACAGACCGCCCCGAATCATCCGGTGATGCTGCCACCGAGGAGGGTCCGGTAACGGGAGCTGGAGCAGGAGCCAAAGCTGGTGGCGGCTGATGGGCCTGGTCATGGGCCACGGTTGACTCGTGGGGCAGGAGCATGGCCGGAGCTCGGAACATGTACGAGAAGGGGTAGTAGATGAGATTGAGCAGCGTGGCCGCATAGACGTCGGCATATCGCACCACCTGGCTGGAGAAGAAGGTCTGGCGCGAACCGGAGCGGAAGAGTGAGCCCATCATGCCATAGGACATGTCCATCTTGTGTGTCACATCCCGGATGCAGGTGCGCAGCTGCGATATATCTGGCTTGACCTTGGCACTCGAGTCGAGATCCCGATACAGATCGCCCAGCTTGATGTCCAGGTTCTGCAGCTCCGCAAACAGCTGGCACTCATCCGTCCACACATGCAGCTCCCTCACCAGTTCGGGTACAATGAGGAATGTGCGCCAGCCTCGGATTTTCTTCGACTTGAGGATGTCACCGAAGATATGATCACCCACATAGAGTACATCCTTGCCCTTGGCATTAATGAACTTGGTGAAGAGCTCACAGGAGCCACCCGAATACACCTGTCCCGGCTGCAGGGGACCAATGTGGGTGCCGATCTTCAGGCCGCCCGTCTTTGTGTCCACCTGTCGCAAAACGGTTCCCTCGTCGAAGAAGAGCGGCTTCCGGGCATCCACAACGATCACATCGAAGTAACTCTTCCAGTCACGATGCGGCTCCTCGGGAGTGGCACCGTGCGGGAAGTCAAACAGGTAGGTCATAATCTCATTGGTGTACGTATAATCGCTGTTGGTCAACATAAAGAGCTTGGCACCCGACTCCCGGATGCGGGACAAGACTGTGGGCAGACGTTCATCCTTCTTCACATAGTGAGCCATGTTCTGCGAACGGAGAAGAGATCATGTTTGAGTTGGAGTTAACACGTATGGAGGAGGAATTCTCACCTGTGTGGTGCGGCGCTTGAGATCGCCATCGGAATGCACCCAGTCGACGGCGCGGCGCACGTCCTGGAAAATCGACTTGTACGTGAAAAGGAAATCGCCAGCTTTGATGCCGCGCTCAACGCTGTTCGGGGTAAAGAAGAGGAATAGAGAATAGAGAGCACAGAAAGGAAAAGCAGATGATGCAACAGAGATGGAGCAGAGGAGGAAAAGGGGATACATGGATATAAGCTGAATATCGATGGGGGTTTTCTCTTAGAACTATGACACATCCCATCGAGAACACATTCTCTCCTTATTGGTAATGTCATCAGTTGACCTACCGAACAAACTCGCTGCTGTTGGTGAAGAAATCGGTGAGACAGGCCAATAGATAGGTTTCCGGCAGGTTGAAGAGTGTGTTTAGCACATACACCCGCGACTCGTCCAGCTTCAAGAACTTGTTGGGATACAGCTCGTACACCTGGTGACTATAAATGATATGAATCAATAATAATATAATTTTATATTTATATTTCAGGCATCACTTACTGTTTGATAAACTCAAAGCCATGCACGCAGACCAGAATATTGCCGTAGGCATCGACTTTTAGCAGATTGCCGTACAGTGTGTCGAACCACAGGCCACGGACGGGGAACGTGGGATCGTACTCAAACTGTAGAATCTCCTTTGGATAGCCCATGGACACCAGACGCTCCTTGACAAGGTTAAAGCCAAGTTGCTCATACTGTGGCGATTTGTATTCTGGGTATTATAATAGTAAAGAATGAAATAAAGAAGGTATCATTAGTTAGCAGTTACTCAGTTGCAATATAAGGATTAAAATGCGTAACGCACATGCAAGTTTTCTGAGAATGTTGTCTATCTGGCTATCAGGATTCTCAACTCTCCTTAAGCTCTAACAATATTCTTATTCTTTATTTTTTTTGTTTGGTGCTGTATCTCTGGCTCTATCTCTGTTTCTCTTTCTCTCTCTGACTCTCTCTCACTCTTTCTCTTTCTGTCTCTCTCTTTCTCCATTTCTCTGCCTTCCTCTGTCTCTCTCTTTCTATATTTCTCTTTCTTTCTCTGTCTCTCTCTCTTTCTCCATTTCTCTGCCTTCCTCTGTCTCTCTCTTTCTATATTTCTCTTTCTTTCTCTGTCTCTCTCTCTTTCTCCATTTCTCTCTCTAAGATTTCCCAAGTCTTAAGCTTTTTTAAATTTGCATGGCTTTACTTATCTTATCCTTAATATTTCTTTGGTCTTACTCACCTGCCAAGGTGTAGTCCATGTCGAAGCCATAGTATTTTATATTCTCCAAATGCAGGGATCTATTCACAAACACTCTGAAATGATACGAAATGGAAGAGATGCGTTCATTTTTGTAATACTGTTATGTAATATCTGTGATATTTCTGATATCTCTAATATTTGTAATATCTGTTGTATCTGTAATATCGGTGACATCTGTAATATCGTTATTATCTGTAATATCTGTAATATTTGCAATATCTGTAAATATCTGTATTATATGTAATATGTGTTATATCTGTAATATCGGTATTATCTGTATAATCTTTAGTATCTGTAATATGTGTAATATGTGTAATATCTGTAACAGCTTCAATATATGTTATATTTGTAATAATTGAAATATCTGTGTTATTTGTAATGTTTGTAATATCTGTACTATCTGTACTATCTGTACTATCTGTACTATCTTTACTATCTGTACTATCTGTACTATCTGTACTATCTGTACTATCTGTACTATCTGTACTATATGTAGTATCTATAATATGTGTAGTATCTGTAATATCTGTAATATCTGTAGTATATATTATATGTGTAGTATCTGTACTGTCTGAAGTCTATCTGTAGTACATGTAATATGTACATTATCTGTAATATCTCTGATATTTGTTAGATCTGTAATATATATATATAATATTTCATATATTTATATATCTTATAATCACTATATTTTTTGTATTACTTATGTATATATTTTATATCTCTTATAAATCTTATATCTATTGTTTTTCTTATATCTAGTATATTTCATACATCTTTTATAAATTCGGTACCTCTTTTATCTCGTACATTTCTTATATCTTAAAGTTCAAATATCTCTTTGTTAATTAGCTAATGAAATACCCTTAAGATGTTATACTTATTTTTCCTATAGAATTGTTCTAGAATGTTGTTTTTCATGTCGTGCAATATCAATGTCATCGATCGATCGATCAATCGTTCGATCTGAAAACGAAGTCAATGGGTTATCAACAGCAGTGCAAAAAAACTGGCAACAAAATGAAAAATATCATGAAAAACGACAACTTCTTACAAGGAGGAGAGACTCAACTGAGGCATGGAAATGGCGTGAAAATCGTGGGACATTCAATTTTCAACTTTGTCGTTGGTTATTGACGCTGCCCCGCCTCCCATTTGCAGCGGCGACTGTGGTCAGCAATTAGTGTTGGAAACTTGTTGTGGGCGGCGTGTGTGTGTGTGTGTGTGTGTAAGCCACGCCCTCTTTGGACAGTCGCCAGCCTCCTTTTTGTGGAAAAACTCATTAGCGAAGCGAAAGCGTGGACAAAATGTTTCGGTGAATACACTTTCTGCGGAAGGGTTTCCTTTTAATTAATTGAAGGGATTGTATCCCTTTTTTTTCTCCAGAAGGAAGAGTATACAAAGATCGACTTCCTTGAATATTGGGTACAGTTTTTTATGCCCCAGTTTGGGGGGGGGGGATCCCCTGCTGTGCGTTTTATTTATTCTGTCGTTGCTTTTGGCAATTTTGGTCCACTTGAACATTTGCCAAATAAGCGAGAAAAGTTGGAAAGTTGCTTCTCCGCTCCTTTACGTTGTCCTTGCAGCTTTTCGCTATCCTGCCAATCCATATACGTACCGAATAATGCATAAATCTGTGACACAATTAAGATAGTTTTTCTACCAAGCCTGTGCCTGACTTTTAATCGATTCGATTCACATAACATGCTAGTTCCTTAATGTAATCTGAATGAGTAATCTGATTAATTAGCAATCGTCGCGTCTAAAAATAATCTAATAAATGCATAAATAAAAATGTCACTAAACCGCTGCATGGCACATGGCTTAATTGTCACTGCACGTCAATTAATGGCCCTGATTCCCGCGGTTCTTAAAATAGTTTTCATCCCCACATCCGTGAATCTTACCCGGGAAATTGTTGTCATAGTCGGAAAAATGGTTACGATTTATACCCATTGGGATTATATGTAGATGAGAGGGTATAGAGCAGCTGTATTTACCATTCATTTGCATTGATAACAAATCCGCAAAATTGTTGTGCTGTTTTCTTGTTTTTGGATTTGTAGCTCTCGATTTGAACTCGAAGTGCCTGAAGTGCGTCAACGAACTGATTGCCGATGTTTTCGCTCAATACACACACGCCAGAGGTCACACTCAGACACACAACACAATTTACATGTAAGTACATTATTTTTGTGTGTTTTTTTTTGTATATAGTACACTGACCGATGATGATATTTGTTTTTCTTAATCGGTCCATTGACACTGGCAGATAGAAAGATCACTTACGCGTTCTGTGGCTGCAGCCACAAGGCCGCAGGAGATGTTGCTGCTGCTGATGTTGCTGCTGTTGTTGCAGATGTTGCTGCTCCTGCTGGTGGCTTAATGTCAGTGGCAGTTGTCCTGGCGATGCCACTTGCAGTTGCATACAAACTGCCATTGAGGCAATTGTTATTATTATGCATTCTCAACTTGTTTACTGACAATGAAAATGTGTGGTGTGGAAATTGCTTAGGTCAAGTTAAAATTTTCTTCTAGCTCCTCCTCCTTTATCTTCTCTTTGGACACCGTTGAAAATTGGGAATTTATTGCCGAATGGTTATCGGTTTTGCACCCGCCACTCAGTCTGCCCCTCAAGGATTGTCATGTTGTGAAGTTGTTATTCCACACCGAAGGACATGCAGCTGCAACTCTTGATTAGATTCACGCTGCATCTGAGCACTTAATGGCCATAACTCAGCGCAGTCCCCTCCATGGACAAAAATCATGGTCGAATTGCACTCGCTGGTAAAATCAAAATTCATATCATGGCAATGCAAGTTTATCAATTTCAACATCATCCCCCTCTCGTATCTCTACCGCTGAATGTGGCAACATTGTGTATGGGTAATGCCACGTAATTCCCTCCCCTTTTGGTAAAGTGCTGCTGCTGCTGCTGCTGCTGCTGGTTCTATTTTGAAACTCATCAGCAAACAGTTCAGCTAGAGTGCCCCGTGGCCAGCACAATCATCGTCATTATTGTCGTATTGCAGCTTTGCAATTGAGACTGTGAGACATTCAGCATCAGTTGCTGACGTTGGTGCTGGTGCCGGTGCTTGTGCCACGTGCCACTGCCACACTGCCCTTTCAACAAAGCCAACAAAGCGTAAACGAGCTGACCAGGATGACCATCTCCAGATGGGCAGGTGAACACGACAACAATTGGCAGCCAATCAGGAGGTGTGCTAACAAGTGCCAGGCAGGTAGGGAGGCAGGTGGACAGACAGAACTGACCATCAACAATGGCATTCTGGCACTCAACATTATCAATAACATAAAAGCAGTGATTGTACACCAAATAAACAATTACATTTTAAAAAATGGGTATATTTCTATAAATTGGAGAATATAAATATAGAGAAAGAATAAATGTGAATGAAAAGACTATAATAATAAATTACAATTTAAGAAAAGACTTGATTTAAAGAAGTTTTCATCAAGAAATCGTAATAAAGAAAGATATTCCTATACAGATTTTTGAGAATGGAAGCTCCATTCCTATCTGAATAATAGTATTTGACTTATCCCTTAGCTTTTCCCCCTTTCAACCAGGATTTCAAGGGTCTTTAGTAATAATAAACTTTACTACACTATATTTTGCGATAGTATTACCTTTCTTTAATATCTGATTAATGATAATTGGCTAATTAAATTAACATTTCGAGTACCATCCACAAAAAGACACACACGACTATTAATCAGTTTTAATAGAAACACCAACAACAACAGCTACACCAATAAACAAGAACAACAAAACCAATCAAAAATAACACCGACCCCAACAGCACTACCAAGAACAACACCAACAACAGCACCTACAACAGAACCAACAACAACTACAACAACAACACCTACAACAGCACCTATAACAACACCTGCAACAACACCAACAACAGCACCTATAACAGCACCTAGTACAACACCAACAACACCAACAACAACAACACCAATCAACAGTCCACAATCAAAGGCAGCAATCATTGTTGCGGTTAAGCTCTTTTATCCCCAGGCTCTCAATTGATAAGTGAGCTCTCTAAATTCAATTATAAGCATATCCGCAATAATCCCCCTTCCCCCACGGGCCCCCATTAACCACAGAGGTACAGTAATACTCCTCTCCTACCGCACTCCAATTCGCCCCAATAGCTACATGGTTGTGTCAGCACCCTTCAAGGGTCCTTTGGTGTTTCGGTCTCCAATTAAAATCAAAATGGCAAACAAAAACAATTACGTTTGCTGTGCCAGTATATCCCTTGTGTGTTTGAGAGTATATCCCAGTAAACCAGCATCCTCACACACACACACACACACTGGAACCAACGTATAGCGGTCACCTATGCGGTCCAGGGCGGCGCAATTGGGCGATAATTGACTTAATAAGCATAACCACAAAACCAAATAGTCTTTGCAGCAGCACCAAAGCACGCATATATGTATACAGTTATGGACATAAGAGCAGCACATGTGCTATGAGTACACTGGATAACATAGAAGTGGGATAGATCAAGAGGTTTCTTAAGATTGCTAAAGTCCTTGAAGTCTTCCAAACACTTAACTCCAGAATTTAAGCAGCTAACTTCAGAAACTTCTTTAATTCTAGGCGTGAGGTTTCTTTTGAAGATTTATAGGGTATAGTCTTTTGAAACCCTATTATATATTTTAGATGCATCTTATATCCAGGCAGCAAGGAATCTTATTAAGAGATAGATCAAGTATTGGTCTGACTTTATCAATTTCAAAAGAGACTCTTACATTTTGGAACTTATTTAGCTACCTCTTAAGGACATTTTGCAACTTATTTAGCTACCTCCCAAGGACAGTACTAGACAAACAACCATCGGGAAACGAGGATATATCCTTAGAAACTTAAAGCTGTCTTTTCATAAGCACTAAGCTGTCTTCTTGACTCCCAAACTCTTTGCTGACCAGTGTAAGCTGTCTGTAGCACTATGACAAAAGCAATTCGCAGTTCACTTCCGACACGAGTTTACGTCTAATTAAGGTCTTAATTGCC